TCCGAAACTGCAGATCTTGTGTTCTTGGAAAATCGCACACAGGCCCTAAAACTGGATTATGGCAGCATGGTACACAACCGACAGATATTTTAGAGACCTGGCACATCGACCATGCTGGAGCTTTAGTTAAATCGTAAGGATGCACTCAAATTCTTGTGATAATCGATGCTTTTTCGAAGTATTGCCGTCTCCATCCGATACCGACAAAAACGACTGATGATTCAATTTGTGCGCTAACAGCAGTGTTCGCAGAATTAGGAAAACCACAGCGACTTATAGCAGATCGAGCTGCTGCCTTTACATCTATAAGTTTCCGGAATTTCTTGAGCGAACAAGGTATTGAACTTCATCACATCGCTACTGGAGTTCCGCGAGGAAATGCCAAAGTGGAGCGCCTCATGCGAACTGTTTTCAACCTCTTATATGCCACGTTAACACCAGAAAAGGAAAAGAATTGGCCGACTGCACTTGCTGCTATTGAGGACGATCTCAATGTGACTGTCCACGCTACGACTGGTCACGTGCCAGCAGTCCTACAATTGGGACTAAACCCACGGCTTGCTGCTACTCGAGAATTTTTGGGTGATGCACCGCCAGATGACAATTTTGTCGATCCCGAAATGGCCGTCAAGGAAGCCCGAGTTCGAATGAGAAAAGCAGCGAAGGACCAAGCACGACGATTCAACGCGTCACGTGTTCGTGCAGACTTGTTTCGAGAAAACGATGTCGTAGCAGTAGAAGAATCGCAATTGGCTGGAGGAGGAAAACTCAAGGCAAAGTTCAAAGGCCCTTATACTGTGTGGAAGGTCCTGCCCAACGAACGATATGCGTTAGTAAAGAAGGGGCATCGATCCACTGTCGCCGCCCATGAGCAGCTGAGACCTTGGCCCTCTGCGGAGCACCAGGTGTAACATAACAGGTATGAAATGTTGCAACAATTGTCAAATGTGCGGACATTTTTGAGAATTGAAGTGCTTATGTGCTGAAAACTTAAATGAAAAATAAGAGATCGGGACTAGAGTTTGGGGTCTGGGATCGGGGACCTGCAGGGTCGGGTCAGGGATCCGGGATCGGGAACTCCTGGTCTTGAATTTCAGTTGTTAAGCACTCAAAATAAAAAGAAATAGTGGAGAGTTAAGGTAGAGTCCGGGACTCGAATCAGGGACCCAAAGTCAGAGATCCGTGATCAGGGACCCACAGAGGTCAGGGATCTAAGATCAGAGGCTAGAGGTCAGGGATTCAAAGTCGGGGATTCACAGAGCAAATTTCCAAAAGTTTTAACATTAGAAATAGTACAACATAAAGAAAAGGAGATTCTGTTTGTGTTTGGACTTGCAGGTGACACCTGGCAGTCTGCGCTGGCGTCGCGAGGACGCTCCGATCGCAGGATGGCCGTGTTAGGGATGCCTTTAGTTCCCCTAGTGACAGAAGGGGTTCACAAGAGGGTTTGACCTGAATCACCAACACTGGCGAGAGTGTATGGCGCAGGACAGCCGAAAACAGCCGAACGAGTGCGTCTGCGCGGGAAAAAACAGTAGTCATGTTGTTGGTTGAGGCGGCCATCATCGCGTACAAAAACATCCGAGCAATAAAGAAGTTAAAACAACTGGTCGTTTACCCTTATACCACCCCTTATCATTACATAGATATAACAGTTTTTTCTACGTTTTGCGTGCTGTACGTTCTGCGGAACATGGTTTCGCTAATTGTCTATTAAAAGAACATAATATTGATGTGCTTAGATTGCCTCCCTACCAATGTGAGTATAATCCAATTGAACTGGAGTGGGGACAATGTAAACTATATTACAATAAACATATTCTCTCTTGTTACAGTAGGTGCAGACAAATGGCAACATTTTATTAGACATTGTGAACGGCTAATCGGGGATGATTGGAAGCGTTTAATGGGTAATGCACCATATGAAGATATACCCCCAATCATAATTTCTCTCGATTCTGATTCTGAATCAGAATGTTCTTCCGACATTGATGCGCTACCTAGCGAAAGTTTACAAGAGAAATTCATGACTGTAATGTATTAATTAAGGCGTAGATTAAGTGTACAGTAGGTTAAGTAGTAAGTAGGTTAATAATAAGATGTTATGGAACGCGACTGCGCATAGCGTAGGTACTGATGTTTCTTGCAAGGACTCGTCCTCTTAGAGACAGACAGTCGAATAGGTAAGACATGAATTTGTGAGTGGCTTAATAAACACAAATCAACACGTGTTCGTTTTATTAATACTTATCACTGGCGACGAGGATTGAAAAGAAGAACAACGAAGATGATTGGTTTGATACAAAATTTCAATCCACGTGTGGACAGCTGGATTTTATACCAGGAACAGCTCGAGCAATACTTCGAAATAAATGACATCAAAGATACGGAAGCATCTAAGAAGCGAGTAGCGGCGTTGATCAGTTTAATTGGCCAAGATACATACAAGATACTCAGAGACGTGTGCACACCAAAAGCCCCTAAAGACAAAACGTACGAAGAGCTCTGCAACCACTTGAAGAAGCATTTTTCTCCGACCACGTGCGTTTTCAGAGAGAGGTTAGAATTCTACGACGCGAAGCAGTTGGAAGAAGAGACCGTAAACGATTGGCACGTGCGAATACACAATCTCTCAACGAATTGCGACTTCGGTGCCGACCTAGGGAACGTCCTCAAAGACAGATTCGTGTGCGGAATGCGAAAGGGCCCAATTCGAGACCGACTGTGCGAGGAAAAGCCGAGCAAATCACTAGAAAATCTCTTGGAAATCGCACTAGCGAGAGAAACCACCATCAAGGCTGACAAGGAGATTAATCTGGTCCGAAAAGAAAGGTGGAATCCAGGTCTTTTGGGGAACGGAAACAACACGTCAGGAGTACTCGAAGGACGCAGAAATGGAAACAATCCAAGGAGGTGGTCCTGTAAAGCATGTGGAGCCGCACATACAGGGAACCAGAGGTGTAAATACGCAACGTACAAATGTAACTCTTGCCATAAAGTGGGTCATTTATCCAAGGTCTGTAGGTCAAGAGCTACACAAAACGCCATAGAAACGGAAGAAGATTTTGAAGAGGTACAAATTTTTAATTTAGACTTTCAAGTGGAGGAACCAATGAAGCTTCAGGTCAGTGTAAACAATGTGAGGTTGCCAATACAGATCGACTGTGGAGCAACCTTATCCGTTATAACAGAGGAGTGTTATAACCAGTATTTTAAAACTGCATGCCCATTGTTTAAAAGCAGACTTAAATTAAAATCATACTCGGGAGATACTGTTGCCAATAAGGGCTACATAAAGACTACGTTAAGGTATAAAAATGTGGTACACAATGATTTTGTATTTCACGTAATAGATAAGACAGGGGATAACAATTTGTTAGGCCGGGACTTTTTAAGTAAATTCAAATTTACATTAATAATGATTGTGAAATTAATAGCTTAGGCACCGATACAAAAATGTTTGCCGAGGAATTTAATAATCTATTTTCAGAGCAATTGGGATGTTACAAGCACAGGACGTTTACAAGGTAAATAGGCTCCCTTTCGGGATTGTACCAGCAAGCGCAATATTTCAGCGCACATTAGAGCAAACGTTAAGCGGACTCGTCAGGGTGACCAACTTTTTAGACGATATACTAGTCCCTGGAAAGACCAGACAAGAGCACAAAAACAACTTAAGGCAAGTATTTCTAAGGCTGAAAGAGGCAGGCTTTGTTTTGAAATTATCAAAGTGCGAACTTTTCAAAAATGAGATAAAATACTTACGATATGTAATCTCAAGAGAGGGATTAAAAACCAATAAGGACAAGATCAGAGCCATGCTTGAAGCACCCAGGCCAAGGGATGTGCGGCAGGTAAAAAGCTTTGTTGGCTTAGTAAATTACTACAGCAGGTTTGTACCAGAATTTGCGGGAATAATGAGGCCTCTTTACGAGCTGTTAAAAAGCGACAGGAAATTTGCTTGGGATCATGGTTGCGAAAAAGCATTCAACCTCATCAAACAAGAAATAGCGTCAGATACGGTACTAGAGCACTTCGACCCTTCACGACCGATAATTCTATCAACGTATGCCTGACATTATGGAATTGCCACCTTATCACACAAGACGACGAATGGAGACTTTAAACCAATAACCTTCATTTCCAGGACTCTAAGCAAGGCAGAAGGCAATTATTTGGTTCTTGATAAAGAGGCTTTGGCGATTTACTGGGCGACATCAAAACTCAGGACATATCTTCTAGGGCATAGCTTTGAAATACACACGGATCACAAGCCACTAATCTACCTTTTCGGAGAGCAAAAAGGAATACCACAAATGGCATCAGCTAGATTCCAACGGTGGGCACTCTATCTATCCGGATTCCAATATAAAATCAAGTTCGTCAAAGGCCAGGAGAACAGTGTAACTGACATGTTGTCAAGACATCCACTGTACTCGGAAACACCAGGTGAGTCTGAGGAGGTTACGGAGACAACACATCTCAACCTAGTAATTGCAGAGGAAATGCCAGTCACACACACCGCGGTATCGCGAGACACACGTCGTGATCCCACGCTGAGTAAGATCGTAAAGTTCGTAACTGAGGGGTGGCCAGAGCAAAAAACAGACGATTTCCTAAAACCGTTCGTCCAGAGGAAAGACGAGATAACCTGCGAACAAGGATGTCTGATGCGGGGCTACAGAGTAATTGTGCCCAGGAAGCTGCAGCACCACCTGTTAGAGGAACTACACAGCAGTCACCTGGGTATTGTCAAAATGAAATCAATAGCCAGAGCTTATTTTTGGTGGCCGAATTTGGACAAGGACATTGAGAACATAGCTCGTAGCTGCATTCCATGCAATAAAGTCGCAAGGGAACCTCAGAATGCGATCCCAATTCCGTGGAATAGACCAACGCGTCTGTGGCAAAGAGTGCACATCGATTTCCTTGGACCGATTAATAACAGCCACTACCTCATTATGTTGGATGCTTATAGTAAATGACTTGAAATTTTTAAAATGAACTCAATCACGTCCGCTGCAACAATTAGCAAAATCAGGGAAACATGTGCAAGATGGGGAATTCCAGAGACTTTGGTATCAGACAACGGTACACAGCTTACATCAGAGGAGTTTTCAGTTTTCTTAAAAAGAAATGGAATAAGGCACGTTACCGGACCGCCGTACAAACCAGAGACAAATGGAGCAGCAGAAAATGCAGTAAGGAGTTTTAAGAAAGGCTTCAAGGCAGCGCTTTTAGACCAAAGAAACCGACACGTTTCGACAGACACTCTTGTCAGCAGGTATTTATTCTGGTATAGAAATTCTACGCACTGTCAAACGAATGAAGCGCCAGCGAAATTGATGCTGGGTAGACATCTCCACACGACGCTCAACTTAATGAGAGCTGACACAAACCGAGACACAGAAAGGCAATTTAACCATAAAGGTCGAGATTCTCCAACATTTGAGAAGGGAAGTATAGTTTGGATTCGGGACTATCGGAAGCCTAACACCAAAACTTGGCAGGAAGCAAAGGTCATCGACATATTGGGACCACGAAACTACACGTGCGAGTTACCAGATGGACAAAAATGGAGGAGACACGTTGACCAAATGAGAAAAAGAATTGAAGCACCAAGCACTGAGGACAGCAAGTCAGAGACAGTACAGCCAGCGAATACAAACCAAGAAGTACCACAAAGGAAGATGCCTGGGGAACCAATAATGCCATCAGCTACACCGCCACCACCAGAACAAACACCATCTCTCGAACCGCAACCCAACCCTATTCCAGAGATTAGGAATTAATATTAGGCGCATTCGGGTTTTTCAAATGTACTTATCTTTAATGGGGGGATATGTAATGTATTAATTAAGGTGTAGATTAAGTGTACAGTAGGTTAAGTATTTAGGAAGTAGGTTAATAATAAGATATTATGGAACGCGACTGCGCATAGCGTAGGTACAGATGTTTCTTGCAAGGACTGGTCCTCTTAGAGACACGACAATCGAATAGGTAAGACATGAATTTGTGAGTGGCTTAATAAACACAAATCAACACGTGCTCGTTTTATTAATACTTATCAATGACGAAGTAATGGAACATGCACAAATGGTTCATGAACGAATGGAGTGTACATATGAACAATTATTAAACATTTGTGAAATGACTAAATCAAATGAATCAATTATCCTGCCGGAGAGATTGTCTTCTTTACGATGGCACGGCAGAAATCATTTTAGTTTGCGTATCTGATAGTGAATACATTTTCATTTTCGTTTCTCTTATAGATTTGTCTGTCTGTTTCATATTGTTTTATTGGTGGTATATAATTCGAATGTTTATAATGTACAGTCTGGGACACGGAATTTCAAACGACCTGTCAATCATAATGACAATAAGGTATAAGACTACAATGTTTTTAAATGTCAGAAAGTTGGTTGTCGTTTGAAATTCCGTGTCCCTGACTGTACATCCTTATCTTTCTATGTAATTTCGTCTGTTTACACAGTCCTACATAAATAAGGGTTTCATTTGAAATATTTACGAATTCAACCAAAGTTCATTAAGCGATTAAGAAAAAGATATTAGCAATTAATGAATGTAAGACTTAACTAAAATCGTACGATAAAACTAGAAAAAATGAAGCGGATGTATGCTGCCTTTATTATGATGATGTTTAACCTCTGATTTGTGTCTAATAACATAACTTGTCAGCTTGTCACTTTTTCATTTGGCACTTAATGTCAATAAGTCCTCAATACAAACGGCTCTAAAATCCTTGTTATGTACAGCAGCAGTGTTGAAACATAAGAGTGAAAGCAATGTAAATTCTGTGTTTTCTGTTATATAACATACTATTTAGTTACATTTTCTTTTGTTTACAATATTATAGACGTGTACAACACAGATGTACAACAAAACGTGTTGTTTACTGTAACGTCCGCGACCCTACAGCTTTGCGAGGGTTGTGATCTCAACTAAATACACTGGTAAGTTGTCGACCTTGAAGTTTGCTTACATTTTGAAGACTTTTACCAGATATTCTTGTTTATCCTGGTGTGTAAGTATCTCATTTTTATGTTTCTGTACCCCTGGTCGTAACGATATTTGTGTGATGCATCACTGCGCATGTCCCTCGTATGATGCCAGATGAGACGGGAGTAGTGTCCCTAGATATACTTACTGCATGTTGTGTACTTCACAATCATATCATCATATTTGAAGGTTATGAGGATGGCGAAGATGCAATTGATGAAATTGACAACGTACCGAACCTTGAAGAACATTCTGACTTACCGTTAGCAAATGTTCATCCAAAAAGAAATAGAATTGTAAATATTCTGTAATATTTATTTTTGAAATAAACATAAAAACATAAACAATAATTCTCTAACTCAATAATACATTAACAAAAACAAAATTCGAAAATAGGCCCAACAAGAATAATGCAAACAGCAAGACAAAAAAAATAATTTAATTTCTGCAATAACTGTTGAAAAATATTGTTTCTGGCTCGCTGTATGTCGTTGTTGCCTTCAACAGCTTTTTGTAGAGCAGATATTTCTTCTTTTGGTCCACCTCGCTTGTTTACTTTCTTACAATGAGTATTTTCTCCACTTTCTTTATTGGTTGTCAGTCGTCTTTTGAGAACAGCGTCTCGCACAGCTGAGGCAGTTTCAGGAATCATTTTATGGATTCGAAAGATAGTGCGGACAATGAGGACACATTTTGCGAAGACTATGTCTACGGCAAGCACGTGCGACAACCGTTCCCGTCCTCATATTCGCGGGCTGAACGGCCAGGAGATCTAATCCATTTTGACACGATCGGCCCCCTGAATGAATCGTTAGGTGGTTCGCGGTTCGCAGCTGTGTTTACCGATGATTGTAGTGGTACGATCATCGCAGTGCCTATGAAAACAAAATCCGACATCGTCGACGCTATGATCGATGTGATAGCTGATGCAGAAGCGAAAATTTTTTGGTTTTGCAAACACTAGTGATTCAGGGTGGATAACAACAGAACATTTTATGATATGGTTTAAAATGTTTATTCCATTTTCTAGAGCAACTAAAGAACGCCCTGTGCTCCTCCACCGCATACTACTCACAGGCTTCAACCACTAAATGTGTATTTTATAAAACCTCTGAGTGCACATTGTGAGACTGAAGTTCGCAACTGGCTTCGCTGCAATCCCGGAAAAATCGTTACACTCTCTTAAATTTCAACATTATTTGGAAGTACATTCGTTAACTCAGCAACAATGAAGACCGCTCTTAGTGGATTTCGAAAGACTGGCATTTGGCCTCCTGATCCAGAAGTCTTTACCGAAGCAGATTATTTACCCTCTGCTACCACTGAGATAGCAAATATTGAACCAGAAAATGGACCAGAAGAACCATCAACAACTTTGGAGGACTCTCGGACAAAAACTCCTACAGAAATGGTATCTTTTGTTGTTACAGAGGCTAAATCACCAAGACCACAAAGAACTGCATCTGATATCTTAAATCCTCAGCCGCAATGTTCTTTTTGGAACAACACAACTTTTAAATCTAATGATAGCAGTTCAAGTTTTTCATGCTTGTCCCCTAAAATAGCACTGCCTATTCCAATTATCAAACAAACTATTAAAATAATTTTTCGAAAAAGGGGCTAAACAGTCATCTTAACATCCACTCCATACAAGGAAGAAGTAGAGACAATTGTTGCAAAAAAGTCGTCATCTTTAACGAAAAAAAAAAGAAACAATAAAAAAAAAACTCTAAAATCGGACCACACACCATCTAAAACTAAAACATCACAAAAGAAGGAATCTAAAATCGTTAAGAAATCTAAAAAAAACCAAAGAATCTTCTGATTCAAATTCAGAAGGAAGTGATGTCGAATGCCTTTACTGCGAAGAGTTTTATTCAAAATCAGTAGAAGGATGGATTTCATGTTCTAGGTGTCATAAATGGGCACACAATTATTGTGCTGGTGTGGATAGCGAAAACGACGAAGCTGTTCATGTTTGCGACATTTTCAAATAATTTTGTAGATTTCAAATATACTAAAAATAAATGTCCAGTTTATGTTTTCCACACTTATTTAACTATCATTTACTATACCCCATTCAATCCTACCCCTGGGGCAGAATGGGACAAATCCACACTTTATAAAGTAATTTTTAAAAATTTAGCAACGGCAAATTTGGGAACAACTGTTTCTAAAATGTTTAGCTAATACTGTAAGCTGTTGTTCAATGTCAATAGATATTGATATATTTCGCTTTTTTTGTCTAAAAATTCATATAAACACTAAGTACCTCGTTCCGCTCTTCCTTCCCTTATCTATTGATGACAATGTGCGATTTATCAGAGAAACTAAATTTCCAAAAAGAACTCATCGTGTGAATTGCAATCAGCGAATGTCCAAACCGCATTTTTTTGAATCCAGTCTTGCAGTTTCTGCAGAGACCTATAAGAAAATAGCAGAATTTATCAGAAATTCACACATGGGTAAAATGTTATTTTTTGGCCTGATCTTGCCCCTTGCCATTACGCAAGGGTTTCTATGGACGAGCTAACAAGGCTTGGAATTAGTTTCGTTCCAAAAGATAAGAACTCCCCAAATGTTCCACAGCTTAGATCTATTGAAGCTTTTTGGGCCAATCTTAAGCGGAAAGTTTATGCAAACAATTATACACCAAAAAACCTCAAATGTTTGAAGAACAAGATCAAGTTAGAATTAGAAAAAATGCAACATTCAGTTTTTCTAGGGCCACGAAACATGTTCCTGCTAAATGTCGAAAAGCTGCAAGAAGTGGCGTAAATACTTTTTTCCAATTTCCACTAATAAAATGCTCCTTTTGTATGTTAAATCTCGCTATTAAAACAATAGTTTAATCGAAAGAATGAATAAAATGTTTATAGTGCAACACTTTATTCACACTGTCATTGACAACACTAATAAAGTAAAAAAACTAAAAATTCGCACTACCACTGAAATTTTCGTTGCTATGGACATATGGATATTTAACTAAAATTTGCAACGTTTGATAGTCCACCTCCTGTAAAACAACCCTAATGAAAGTCCAGGAGCATCGTTTGAATTTGAGCGTGACGAAAGTACAGGCAGTTTAGGCAATTTACCTTCTTCAAATGTTCATGATATTGGTAATAGAATAATTAATAATTATGTATATGGATTACCTAAATAATACATGTTTTGAACAATTTTGCGAAATTGGAAAAAATCTTGTATAATACACGTGAATAAACGAATTTTATCCACTCAAAAACATTGTCACACTCAGCTTCGCCTCGTGTGCTAAACTGTTTTTTCGGTGGATAAAATTCACTTTTATTCACTTATACCATAAATAGCTATTATACATTGAGTTCAAGTACTCATTATTAATGTTTTTTAATTTCAATTTCCAACTGTCCTAAATAAAAATTTTCCAATGAAATAAAATTGGTAACACGTTAAGGATAAATATTAATAAAAAATATTTTTTTCTCCAAACGTAAAACGCTCAGAGCGGCATTAAAATAAAAAGCTGCCAAATTATAGTTATTATTTATTGAAATGTAAATTGAAAGTAGTTACTAATATTTGCATTTTTAAAATTACAAGCGCTTGAAAAAGCTGAGTATACATCATCAGCTCTACTTACAATCGAATTAACAGTATTGACACAATTCATTGAAAATCTCTGGGAAGGTTCCTCAAAAGGTTCAATAGCAGACGTACGTAATAGTATATGAGCTAGCAACGTTTTCAAGAAAGAATTTCAGGTCAGCTGATTCTTTGATATTTTGTTCTCCTTCCTGTATCGGGTAGACCCTAGCTCATCTGGCTGGCCGTGGCGGTTGGGTTTATTAGTGCGCATCCTACCTGTATAGAGGCTTTTTTTCGCGACTAACCGTGTTGTAGAATAGCGGTTACGAAGTGTTATACCCCCACTCTTCGTATGACGTCAGTTTAGAACACGGTTACTGAGTCTCCGCAAAAATGTTGTACGTAAGCTCATATAGGGGGAAAAAATTGACATTTTATTTTCTTCAACAAAAGTGGTAATGTAATCAACAAATCAGCAAGGATTTATGTCAGACAAAAAAAATTCACGTAAGTACATACATAAAGATGGATATTGCTTTAGTTGATGAATGAAGTACTTTTTGTAGATTTTATATAAAATAATGGCGTTAATCCCGTACATGAATAATGTGGATCTGTTTGTGTTAATCGATTTAGTTTTCTCCGATGCTTCGATTGTAGTTAATTATGAACAGCTACTTGGACGTAAGAGAAAGCAGATATTTTGGAAGATTAGGGAAAAACATATACGACAAACAGTTGATCATTCTGTTTGGTTAGAGGCATACAACGACAGAACATTTTATGAATTATTTAGGATGCAAAGGACAACATTTCGAAAATTCGTTGATGTTCTTATTGCACAAGATACGAATAATTTAATTAGAAAGAAATACAGAGGTGGTAACTACCCTGTTGCCTCAGAGAAAAGTGTACTTGTTTTTTTATGGTTTTTATCAAGACAAGACACACTGTTGTCAATTGCTGATCACTTTGATTTGGTACCTTCCACTGTAATGAATATTGTTAATAGTTTGCTATACCTAACATTACAGTTAAAAAAGAAGTACATATTTTGGCCAAAAACCGAAGATGAATATCGTGCAATTAAGGATGGATTTAAAGGATATCCTAGTAAATAATTAAATCTGAAAGAAATGTAAGTAAAAAGTCTCACGTTTATGTAATATTTTAGATGTGATTGGTGCAGTCGACGGAACACATATTAAACTGAAGGTACCAGCAAACCAACATGATAGTTATATTGACAGACACCAAACATATTCCATCAATTTAATGGGAATATGCAATGCTGAAAACTTATTTACATATGTTTTTGTTGGTTATCCAGGGTCAGCACATGATTCAAGAGTAAGAATTAAATACAAGAAGTTAAAATGTAATGGCCATTCATTTATTTTGTAGGTGTTTTCAAATAGTGCACTGGTGAGACATATTGAAACATATGGAAAACATATATATTTTCCCAATGAAGAGGATCATTTAATAGGAGACAGCGCTTTTCCTTTGAGAACGTGGCTTATGACACCGTTTTCTAGGAGAAATAATTTAACCAGAAGGGAAAGACATCATAATTGGTGTTTAAGTTCGGATCGAGTTTGCATTGAACATACGTTTGGTATTCTCAAAGGGAGATGGGCTAGATTACAATACATAAATACATACTCAGTCAGTAAAGCTATTGAAATCGCCACAGTTGCATGTATTTTGCACAATTTTTGTTACCTGAATGGGGATGAGTGGCCGGCCGAAGAGGTAGAAATTCGTCCAGAAGAAGATCACGTAGAAGAAAACGACAGAGAAGCATTTCGGCGTGGAGAACATAAGAGAAATGATATAGCAAGGTATTTAATGAATAATGTTAATGAGAATAATATACCGGGCATTTTTTTTTAAACTGAACATAGGCCTATGTTCAGTTTTAAAACGACGCTGTCAATGCAGGAACATTGTTGGTTGCATAACCACGAGAAATCGTTTGAGTAAAGCAGAGCTTTTTCACCGAAACTACAGCGTGTTATGCACATGTTCAACAATAAACAAAACCATAAATACGACAAAAATTTTATAAAACAAAAACTAAATTTTATAACAAATATTCGAAATGACCGCCTCCCTGTTCCAAGCAATAACCAAGTCTGTGATGGAATCCTTGCACTGCATTTCGTACGAAATTTGGATTCAACTCTTGGCAAGCTCTGACTATTCGTTCTTGTAACTCCTGAATTGTTTGAATTTCTACGTGATCATAAATTGTATTATGTAGGTGTCCCCAGAGAAAAAAATCATTTGGCAAAAGATCTGGTGATCGTGCAGGCCAAGCTACAGGACCAAATCTGCCTATCCAACGTTCACCAAATACATCATTTAAATAATTCGTAACTATTCTACACGAATGTGCTGGTGCACCATCCATCTGGAACCAAATATTCTCAATATTTAGTGGTTCAATTTCAGGAATAATATGGTCCCTTAAAAGTCTAAGAAATGTATTTGCATTTAAATTGCCATCAATAAAAAATGGTCCAATGAACCTATTGTTTATTAAGCCAGCCCACACATTTAGTCTTTCTTGTACTTGATGGCGAATTAAATTTTGCACATGAGGATTTGTGCGGGCCCAGTATCTGTAATAAGAACATTTTGGCATAAATAGCATTGAATAATAAAATTGTAGAAAATTTGACCGATAATTTTGTGAATTAACTTCGCCATTCCTACTAAATGATGCCTCGTCTGTAAACATAATGTTTTCTAAAAGTTGTTCATTAGTGTTCAGTGAGTTAAACATCAATTCACAAAAATCCGTCCTCCTAATTTTATCCTCTTCAGTGAGGTATTGATGATTCCTAAATTTATATGGTTTAAATCGACATTATTTCAAAACTTTTCGAATTGAGAATCTGGAAATACCGAAGTAGTTCCTCTTCAGCGTAGCATAATACGTTTAATTTCATCTCTTCGGTTAAAATGTGACATCTCCTATTTCTTTGATGATGGCTATTGACGACACATCCTCTTGCATTAAAATTTTTAATTATGTTCCAAATTGTTGCGAGAGACGGAATTGGCCTAGTAGGGTACTGTATTGAAAATAAATCTCTTACAATTCGCATGCTACTACCAGCTTGGTACCATTGCAGTATTTGAATTTTTTCTTCTGTCGAATACATTGTGTGCAAGCAGTTTTGACATTTTAGAAAACATTTCAAAGCATTCTATTTGATTCTACTTTTTTAAACGATGGAGTTGTTGTAATGTTGGTTGCATTACAGTTGCAATTGACTGCGTCGTTTTAAAACTGAACATAGGGATATGTTCAGTTTAAAAAAAAATGCCCGGTATAATATGATATATTAATGTAACTGAACAATAAAAATATATATATAAAAAAAATATATGTTCTTCATTTAACAAAAATACTAATATCTACTTTTCTAAACAAAATAAAATGAGAACATGTGAGGTCCACATCAGTTAGGGTGAGAACAGCTTCAGACAACTAGTCCGAGTCTGAATCTGAATTGTGCTTACGTTTTTTCTGACGGATTAAGCTATCAAATGTGTTTAGTAGCCTTTCTCGTTGTTCATTCTGCTGTTGTAATAATTTTTCTAAACGGTTAAACTGCTCCCTCCTCTCTGTTCTGTCATCTTCATGTTGCGTTTGCATCAGATTAATTAATTGGACATTTGAAGTGGATGGCTTTCTAATCTTGTTCAATGAGAATCTATTTTTTATCATTTCTTTCTTTTCTTGATCACATGACGAAGGCGACTGTGGGGCTAATAGATCATCAGTTTCACTCTCTTGTACTGAACTACTACTACAGGCTTCTAGAGTGTCTTGTAAATTTTTGGGGTCACTTTTGTGTTTATTGCTCATGATACCATGCATTTCTGAAAAGAATGGCGGTGGTTCTTTTTTTTCTTCGCCAGTCCGTTTCATATGCGAGACATGTTTCATGTATTGCTTCTGGAGGTTGGAGAACTTCTGTCGTAGTTTCTCAACTGCATCACGTCCAGTGCCCACATCAAATCCCAATGCATACATCTCACGAGCAATTTTGCCCCATAATTGCGTTTTCACATGCTTTTTGTCATCAAATTCGTGGGCATATTTTTGGCGTAATTCCAGGAATATTTCTGTAGCCTTACTGTCTTTTACACTTGGCCTTTTTGTTGACCACACACTGATGACACCAGTATTACTATCTGAGTGTTGTGCATTTTGTTGTTCGCTAATAAGATGTTTTCTAACATAGTTTGAAGCTGCCTCTGGATCTAATTACAAAGATAATAATTATTATTGTTATGTTTTACAACATCAACACTCACCATTCAACAATACATTTGCAGTTTCCAATCTGACAAATGCTAAAAAATCCTCCCCCTCGTGATTTATCGAAATTTCAACCAACTTCTCTTCACCCATTATTGTCGGTAAAATCTTAAAACATGCACCATGTAACCTCACTTTTCATAACCGCTATTTTGTAACCCACCTCTTGAGCAGGGTTACTGAAACCATAACACGGTTCTAAACGATGACGGCTTTCTATGACATCACAACACCTTCCCCTCAATTACCGTATGTCGCAAAAACGGACCGGTTAAGTAACCGTTGTGACTTTCACTTCAACGCGAACTCGCGAAAAAAAGCCTTAGGTAAAAATCCTAGATTTTGAAAGCATTTTAAGAAGCTTAATTTTTAATTTCTTGTTTTCAGATAGGTTTATTAAACACAATTATTTTATTGCCAGACACTTTTATCGTTGCAAACTACATGCCATACGCATTTTTTTTTTTTTTATAAAATTTTCAAACCATTTTAGTATGTCTGTCATTTTAATATTATGTTCCTTTAGTACTCAAAAACCTAAAATTAATTTGCCAGACATTAATTCGATTGCTAAACCTTGAAAAAGAACGACAAACTTAAGAAATATACTCCCGTCTGGAGCCAGTAGTCAGACAGAGAAGTAGTAGAGTGCAAGGGAGATAGACAGCGACATCGGCGCAGCCGGCATATTTACAAGATGGCGTCAGTCTAAAGTCACATGTTTGTGTTTACGTTGTTTTCACTGTTTATTTATAAATTTTCTTACAATGGCTAGGGATAAAAAGCGATGTGTTTTTTGTAACGGCACAAATGATAAAATAACACTTTTTGTGAGTGAAAAACTAAAGAGATGCCAGGAAATTTTGAGTGTACGAGTAAAAGATAAATTAAAGTATAATGACACTGAGTTCCCTGCACAAATAAATGAGACAGATGGATATCATAGACAGTGTTACAGTAATTTTACAGCGTTAATGAAAAAATACCGTGATTTATTATCAGAAGCAGATTATGCCAGTAACTCCAGTCCACCTACAAGTTCAAACAGTCAGACCGCATGTGAGGCTGTTTCTTCAAATTTAAATATTCCAGAAGACATTGATCAAAGTTTAAATATTTCAGAAGACATTGATCAAAGTTTAAACATTCCAGAAGACATTGAACAAAGTTTAAATAATCCGAACATATCAGGACCTTCTCATGAAAGTTTAAATAGTGAGATATTATCACAAAATGCTGCTTCAAGTTCAGATTGTCAGGCAACGTCAGGAGATGTTCCAGCTCCACGTGTGATTCAAGTATCGACGAAAATACAACAGGCCGACAACTTAAAAATGTGTGTTTTTTTTGTGACAAAGATCGAAAGCAAAGTAAGGGGAGACAACAAAATCTCCATTCATCAAATGATTTAAAACTTTACGATAAAATTATTGAGTGGATGGAAAAACTTGGTAATGAACAGCTTCTACAGAAAATTAATAACTTTAAATCCACCAATAGAACAATTTTTTACCACCATTCTTGTGAATTAACCTTTTTAAATAATTATAATAAAGTAGTTTCAGACGTTCCACACACATCTTGGCATAAAAACCGGATCATCCATAAAGATATTTTTCATCGTATTATTTCAATAATTAACAAAGAAGTTTTTGAAAGAAAAGAAATGTATTTGTTATCGTCTCTCTCGGATTTATACAATAATGAATTGGAATATGAGCAACAACGTCAACCTCAATCGGATATCAACCTCATAACGAATTATGCGGCGGCATCTGGCTCTCGTATATCATAAGAGAAGACATGTAGTATCGCTTTCTGGTACTACTGGCACTAGGTTTAAAGAGTGGAGAAACTCTGGTAGACTCCCCTCTCCCTCCACAATCGGTGCGGTATGGGTTCATTCGTTTTCTAGTGCTCGAGCTTGGCACGTCGCACGTCCGCTCGTCGTCTGGGACTGAACAATGGGTCATCACAAATCCCGCAAACGTCGTCATCGCTCTTCCTCCAGCTCAGAGGACGACCGCCGAGAACTTTGGAAGCGATTGCGAAGACTCGAAGCTGAACGACATCGAAGTCCCCCGTATTCCCCAAGTTCGGGTCGCGTGCTGCGTGGCGCGGACGAACCTTCAACAAGTTCGAGTCACGAGCTGCGTGCCGTGAACGAACATCCCCACGACGACGTTGGCCGTCGCCTGCGTGGCACGGCAACGCCTGGTTCGGCTGCACTCGATGCTGCAGGTGAAATAGGTTGTCATTCTAACCAATCCGTGCAGTCTGAACCTAAGCACTTAAGCGATCGAGAAGCTAACCTTGACGCTGCACAGCCGGTATTCCAGGAACACGATGACGTGGCGCTCGATCCGCACGTACTGGAAATGCTCGGTGAGACCGGCCCGTCAGCAGCTGCCCCGTATCAGTTTCACTCGACCTTGTCAGCCAGCTGGAAAAGAATTTGCTGTCAGGGCTTAGATCCGGCCAAAAAATCGACCCTTTTGAAAGACGTTGTC